CCATTGAAGAGTATCTCATTTCTCTCGGGTCGCTTTTGCATTTCGCTCCGGGTCATTATCCATTTGCACTGTGAAGCTCAGTGGGATCAGTTTTGCAACGTTTGTTTGAATCTGAGCAGAGAGTGCAACCCTGTAGACTTCAGACATTAATAAACACCACTGACCCGTTCAAAGGTGCAACATTTTCACCAACATGGTTCACAGATGATATGGTACGCTCTGACCACGAGCTGTTTCACTCCTCCATGCTTTTCTTTTCAGTTTATCTCGGTTTCATTATCCAAATACAGTTATGTCCATACATATTTGCTCTTTTTTTTTTTTACCTGTTTACTGAAATATATTTCAATTATAGTTCTATAATGGACATGGACATAATGTGTAGACCCTCAGCTTTTGTTTAGGGATCTGGATGTCCACAGAAGACACCAGTGGTGGATGATCGCAGAATCATTTCCATGGTGAAGAGAAACCCCTTTACAACATTGAAGCAAGGGAACAGCACTCTCCAGGAGGTCAGCGTATCGATATCCAGTGTACCGTAAAGAGAAGACAGCATGAAAGTAAATACAGAGGGTTTGCTGCAAGGTGCAAGCCACTCATAACCGTGAAGAATGAAAGGCTAGACTGGAGTAATAAACATCTAAAATAGCCAGCAGAGATCTGGAAAAACATTATTCGGAAAGATGAAACCAAGATAAACCTCTACCAGAGTGACGGCATGGAACTGCTCATGATCCAAAGCATGAGCTGGTTTGGTTTGGGCGTGCACAGCTCCCAGTGGCACTGAGACACCAGTGTTTATTGATGATGTGACACAGGACAAAAGCAGCCTCAGAAGAAGAACTCTGAAACAGAAACTTGCTGTCTGTTCAAATCCAACTAAATGCAGTGAAACTGATTGGGTGGCGTTTCATAATACAGATGAACAATGGCCCAAAACATACAGCCAGAGCAACCCAGGAGTTTATTAAAGCAAAGACGTGGAATATTCTTGATCTTAACTGAGCATTTCACTTGTTAAAGACTAAACTTCAGACAGAGGCCCACAAACAAATAGCAACTGAAGGTTGCTGCAGTAAAGGCCTGGTAGGGCATTAAAAAGGAGGAAATGTGTGTTCAAGACTTCAGGCTGTCGTTGCGATTGATATAAAACCTCTCGATCGTAGACTCAAAACAATAATACACCTCAATATAATACACACATCAGATGTTATTTTGGTTTCCTTCACTTGCATCCACATCCCTTTGTGCTTTATATTGAGAGTTTCAGTGAAAAGTACTTGTTACTACTTGTTACTTCTTTAAAAACATTTGGACTTATTGGTACTGGAATTCATTGATTGCTTTCTTGATTGATTGATATGTAGGACTAAAGAGTGAAGAATACACTGTAGCTGAGTAATACTGCGTGTTGTTGCAGGGAGCTGGAACCAAAGACAAAGTCTTGATTGAAATCTTTGCCTCCAGATCTAACCAACAAATTAAAGCTCTCAGCGACGTCTATTTCAAAGGTAAAAGTTACGTTTGATACGTTTTTTTTGCCAATTATATTAAAACGAATATGTTTTTAGTCACAAGAACAAAATATACCTTACCCATGCTGGACAGCAGCAAAATAATTTACCACAGACATTAGTCTGTTTTGTGATAGTTTTTCTAACATCAGCATCGTCTGTCGTATCTTCTCTCCACAGAAACCAAAAAGCAGTTGACGGCTGCCCTGGAGAGGGAAGTTTCAGGAGACTATTCCAAAGCGCTGCTGCTCCTGGCTCTGGTTTGTTACGCGAGAAGCGAACGCAATTCAAGGGTTTTATGTATTAAGACTTTTTTTTTTTTTTTAAATCATCTGGTCTTTTTAAAACTAATTAGCTAAAGCTCAGATGAACAGCAACATATTCCACAATGTCATTATTTATGTGACAAAACTTAAGCCAAAATACTGAAATGTGAAACGCTAAGTAGACCACATGATTCAGTGGCTTTAGCACCA